CCCCAAAACCCCAAAACCCCAAAACCCCAAAACCCCATATTTCTAATTTAAATTGTTAAAATACTTATATAAAATATTTAAATGGAAGAGAAAGACTCCAACGACAGTCATAATAACAGCCAAGAAGAAGAAAGCAAGAATTCTGTTAGCGACGGCCACCAAGAATCCAAAAATGATGAAGCTGAGAAAGACTCTGATCATGAACAAATTGATGCTATAAAGGAGGAAGAAGAAGAAAGAACCTCAAGTAATTCCTAAACTCTGATATTTTAGTCCTTCAAAATCTCAAAGACATTTTTGAGTTATTCGATAGTACAAAATCAGGGAAAATACCTACAAAAGATCTTGAAAATATACTGACTAGTCTGAACAGGAACCCTGAGGAAGCCAAAGAATTTCTAGAAGAATTTAGCCCTGCAGAAGAAGACTACATTACATTTGATGAATTTGTTAAATTAATGGATAAAGTAGAGAACAGGATGGAGAAAAAGGATGATGACGAATCCTCCAAACAAAAGGAAAGCATTTATGATAAGAGCCCAGCACAAGAAAGTGATGAAACGAAGGATGGAGCAAAAAGAACTGCTTTATTAGACTTCCTAATTCTTCTTGAGGATTATCGAGCTAAGTGAGAATCCGAAGGCAAATATGCTGAAGCAAGAAAATGCCGTATCAAATATGAAGAACTTCTCAGAAAAGAAACCATCAGACAAAAGAACAACATTCGCATCTCCCAAGAACAAGAACTCCAGAGCATCGAAAATGCCCAGAAAGCACAGTTCCTCGAATTCTCACAAGCCTGGGACAACTACATGAGCGACTACGAAGCCACTGCATACTTGAGTTTAGAAAAGCTTAAAGAGAAACACATCCTGGAGTTCCAACAATTTAGCGAGAAAGTCCAGGGAGAACTCCGCAAATAAAATGAAGTTCAGCAAAGACCTCATCGAACTCAGAGACAAAGAAGCCAAACTTGTCAAGCTCAAGAGATATGAAGAAGCAGAGAAAGTCAAAATGAAGGCAGACCTCCTCGAACAGTTCGAACGGAACAAACTTGAAAACGAAATGCAGGCCATCACTGAGAAGAAAGAAGCTAAGCTCAAGCACAAGCAACAGCTTGCATTGGCGGCGCTGCTTAAGAGGATCCAGAGAGACCGCAATGAACAGCTGAACCACCGTCAAATCGACTCGCAACGTCTGATCCAGAGGAACAAAAACATTCTGAACGACTTGATCAACAAACAGCACCAAGAGACGAAGAGGACATTAGAAATGCTGAAGAAGACTTTGTCGAACATTCGGAAAGACAAGAAGAAGGGACCATTGAGTGCGAAATCGACTCAGGCCAATCGGGCTGGGAAAGCCTCTCGAGCAAATAAATAGAAAAGGCATCCCAATTCTCTAATAAACTTAATTTGCAACTAAAAATCAAATAAAAGGGGTTTTGGGGTTTTGGGGTTTTGGGGTTTTGGGGTTTTGGGGTTTTGGGG